TCCATCATATTCTCAGTTTGTAGGACACTTCAAATCACGAGCATTTCGCTTTCATCCGGTGGAAGATGATACACCTCTTCCTGTTTCCAGCTATCTTCTCATCACTAACCTCTTCCATTGTGCCCTGCTCAGTGAAAGACGACTCAGCTCGTCGGGCAGTTGGAGGAAATGTGCCCAAGTCTATGGCATCTAAAGCATTTTCTGGCGGGGACTTTAGTACGTGCTGCTCTTCTCGTGCTACTTCTCACTCGGAGTGGGGACTTTAATACGTGCTGCTCTTCTCGTGCTACTTCTCACTCGGAGTGGCTCTGTTCTTATCCGGACCAATTTTCTCAACTCCTTGAGGTGTGCTCCTGTTGGTGTCTTCAATTGTGGGTGACTGCCTGACCGGTGGTGGTTACATGTTCTATTTCTACTGACTCTCTACCTTCAAGGCTAAGGTCTGGACATTTCCTAGTGACCAATATGACTACAACTGCACAACGTCGTTGATAACAGGCTTCAAATCCCTCAGATAATGGGCAACGGTGTGTTCATCTGGCTCAACCAAATCACACCTTATCTGTAACTGTTCAAACTGCATCGTGAACTCATTCATTGATGAGTCTCTTTGCTATAGGTGGAGTTTAAAAAATATATCCTGACTGTAGTGAGGAGGTAGATATTTTCTCTGCATCACTTTTCGCATCTTCTCCCACTTAGTAATCTTTTCATTGTCTTCTCTCTTCGTTTGTCTCTTTAACTTTTCGCTCTTTCTCAATTTGATAGCTGCAAGGTGCACCCTTTTATCTTCTGGCACTTTTTGTAGTAAAATATCCTCTCAACAGATTGCAGTCATTCGATAAGGTCGTCTAGATCCATACCACCATCGAACTCTGGTAGATTCACCTTTATCTTGAAGTCCCTATCTCCTCCATATGCGGCCTCCTCTGATATTGGATTCCAATGCGTTGTGGGCTCCTCTGATATTGTGTCCTCCATATGTGGCTTCCTCTCTCAGCCTCCTCTGATACTCGATGTCAAAGCGTTGTGACCTCTTTTTTTCATAACTGAAATCCTTCTTATGAAAGGGTTTGAAATTCTCATCTTTTTCACCCTGTCGACTTTCCCAGTCACGTTGAGTGTAATTTTCTCATGGGTTTCATCTTCCATGTCCGCAAGCCTCCGCTGAAGTCGACAAATCTCTCGCTGTATCTCTTCACGAGTAGGCTTGAGCGTGTATCTTCTTGGTCGCATGGCTTGTTTAGGGCGGGAGGTGAAAGGTGTAGTAAAATTGATGTGGGGTTGCTGATTTTGAAAATTTGCAAGGGAAAATTAAAGCTAGGTCAAAATGTTTCTATAGTTTGGGAATAGAAAAGAAATTTTTTGGGCGCTGAAGTCGACAAATCTCTCGCTGTACTTTTTCACGAGTAGGCTTGAGCGTGTATCTTCTTGGTCGCATGGCTTGTTTAGGGTCGGGAGGTGAAAGGTGTAGAAAAAATTAATGTGGTGTTGCTGATTTTGAAAATTTGCAGGGGGAAATTAAAGCTAGGTCAAAATTTTTCTATAGGTTGGGAATAGAAAAGAATTTTTTTTGGTGTAAGTGGCTTGGGGGCTTGGCTAGGGGCGGATGTTAGAAATCCTAGGATAGCTAGCTCCGATTCTAAATGATTCTGGAGTTGACCCAAACCACAATAGAAATATAAGTTTTACTATTGAAATTCAAGATTGCAATGACGATTCTTCAAAAGAAGAATAAAACTACACAAAGCACACAAACGATCCTCTACGGTGAGAGCGTAAGGGGTAGACACCGGCTGGACAACAAGTGTGCGGACTGATTAGATGATGCAGTAGTAGTTGGAGGGTTTGGAGAGGGGTTTTGCAGGGGTTGGAAGGGTTGGAGGGAGTTGTGGCAGGTTTGGAATGAGGCTAAAGAGAATTACGATAGATCTGGAAGGGCTGGAGGGAATTACAGTAGATTTCGAAAGACTTGAGGGAATTGTGACCGATCTGAATGGGGGTTGGAGGAAGTTATATCTAGGTCTGGAAGGGTTGGAGAAGCGACAACTACCAGAAAAGGAAAAGTAGGTGAGCTATTAGGGGAAGATACGCATCATCTTGGGATGAGTTACAACCGGAACACGTTCTCTCCATTAGATAAAGCTCTAGAAGAGAAAAGGGGGATGTCGGAGGCTGCCAAAGCCAAAATCTCAGCAAAAACTGAATCCCAATGATAATAACATAACAACTATATAGTAGATAATTAGGAGGGGTTCGACGACAACCCTAACCCAACTAACCATATGGGTCGACCGTCACCTCACTTCCCTTAAATGAAATGGTTTGGTTGGGTACAGCCGGTTCAACCCTCCCTTTAAGAGAGCCCCACGCTACTTATGTTATGCACAAGTAAGCACTTTTTTTCCTTACATCAAATATAACACGGTATGCGGGTACTTATATTGTACCGTGCAAGTACTTACATTATGCAGACAAGCAATTTCCTCTCTGAGCCAAATGCAACACGGTATATGGGTATTTAGATCCTCCGAACAAATAATATACTTATAACTTTGTGCAGTATCGGCGACAAAGGTAATGACCATTTATAGTTTTTTTCTTTCTTCATTTTTTTTTATTTTTTTATTTTTTCAATTTTTTCCTCTTATTTCTTGGCCTCTTTTTTCCCTTCCATTTTTTCTTTTTTTTTAAAATTTTAAATTCTTTCTTTGGGATTTCTCCCTCTCCAGTAGAGAGAGAAAATGAAGAGAGAAAGTAAAGGATGTGATGTTTCTTGGTTAGTGAGAAAGAGAGATGGGGGGAGTGAGAAATGGATAGAGAGAGAAGAGAGAAATTGGTGGGTAGAGAGATGGGATGAGATAGAGAGGCAAAAGAAGGAACGAGAAAGGAGTTGGAAGAAAGTTTCTCTCTCTCCATTAAGTAGATAAAGAGAGGGATAGTGGGCGGTGGTTAGAGCTATCGGGTAAGAGAGAGAATGGTGGTTGGAAGGTGGTTCGACTAAAGAGAAAAAGCGAGGAAGGGATGGTGAGGTGTTTGGAAGGGAAAAAGGGAAGTGGAGGAAAAAGAAGAAGAGGATAAAAAGAGAAAGAAGGAAGAATAAAAAGGAGAGGAAGGAGAAGGGAGGAAAAAAAGAAGGGAAGAGGAAGAAGAATGAGTGAGAAAGGAGGTGTTAGTGTGGCGAGCTTGATTGGTGGTGGTCGTGGCGGCAGGCAGCGATGTGAAGCGGTAACAACATAAGGCAAGGGGGTGGATTGATAGACAACATTGTGCAAGGCATGCAGGTGATGCTAATAAATGAGAAAGGGGGCGAGAGAAAGAGAGATTGAGTGAGAAAGCCTCTCAATATAAGTGGATTTGGATAACTTTTTTCCTTTTAATTTTAATGAACATGAGGACCCTCGTGCCTATGACATGGGCCACACAGATGGAAGGGGCACAATGAGGCATGATTTGAGGGATATTTTGAGGCTTGGATGGAGGCATTTAAATTTCTTTCTTAATTTTTGTGAGAATACACACACACATACATACATCAATTTTTTTTTTTTGTGGCAAATTCAGTTGGTCCAACATATTCATTTTATGTCATTGCCAAGTGCTTTTTTTTTGGTTGCTAGAGGGCGTCAAAGTGCATGTGCTCATCGCACATGCAAACAATTGTGCATTTTGACTTTGCGTGAGTATCCAAACATTATGAATGTTTTTCTTAAATAATTCTGACACTCTAGATGCATAGATTCAAATAGTTTTATGGTCGGGCATTATTTGGGCATCATCAATTGTGATCGAAGAATTTTAACCCTAATTTGCACAATATTTTTTTTTCATAATTTTCTTCTCTCACTGTGTTTGATCGAATCCATAGAGATGGTATCTTCTTGGGAATTTTGCTGCTTTGAACCTCCATTGAATGAACTGATGACGTTTTAATTGGCTTCAACTAGACTTCTTGTCTCAGCATGTGATGTGTTTTAGTTGGTTCAAAGATGTCTCTCATGTTGTTTGGACATTTTGAACTCATTGGTGAATTTCATTTTATTGAATGAGTGACGATGAATTTGTTTTGATTGAGTTCAAGGTTATTTTAACCTGTTGAGCTGCATCACATCTGTCCTCTACTGCTTTCACTATATTTGATCATAATTAAAGTGAAATAATTACAGAGGTCAATAGTATTTTCCATACATTTATGATGGGGGATTTGTGTTGAATTTCTTATGTTCAGCTGCGTGTTCACTCTTCTGGAAGTAATTCAGCAGCATCATCAATTAGCTTCAACCAACCTTTTGGCCGCATATTTTTGAAATAATAACTATTTTAGACTATATGTTTGAGAATGGAACTTGTTGCAGTGGAGTCATTGGGTTGTTGGAGATACATTTTCTTGCTATAAAATGATATATATATATATATATATATATTTGTATTGTGTCAAATTAGAGCAATCATATTTCTTACCCTCTTTCAAGTGTATAAAGAACAATGACCAATCCATAGTTTGGTCCCTAATTTTGTTGTTAGGTTGGGAGGAAACCGACTCTCACTCCAGAGCTCCCATTTCTCTCTCATTTGAGGTCTAACAATCTTGCATTGTTTCCAATCAACTTGACTAAATAGAGGATTTTAATCTGTCACATTAAAATCTCCAATTTCACGTCTAACAAAGTATATTTTTCTATTTATTTGCACTCAACCCAATGAATTATATTCTCACCTATGGAATTGAATGTGACTCTCACAATATTGTAGAAATCATAGCTCTTTTTGGATAATATATTTCTCAACACATAACATTTTAATTTGTCAAATCAAAAAGTAAATGAAGTATATATATATATATTTATATTTATATTTATATTTACTGTCAAAACGTTAGCAGAGTACGTAGTTTCATGCATTTAAAAAAAATAATAGTTCAATTAAGAGTTGAATTTCTTAAGAAAAACTTTTGCAATGCCAATGAACGATTCATCACAAGTAATAGAAAAACAACCATAGTACTACTCTCGCTTTCACAGGTCCTGTACACTCAGACCAGGAGAAAGAGATTGTTTGAGCTTATCAGCCTTCTCAGAATCAAACACGCAGAGCGTGTAAAGATACTTTGCACATCTGACCTTGAACTTCACAACACTTTTGCTCCGTTTAATCTTTACAGAGCGAGCATCCTTCCTTCTAGCTGTGAGAAGGAAATCCTTGATCTCATGGATCTGCTTAGGCATTTCCGAATTCTCCAATGGCCGCTCTTGCTTTGGTACATCTGAAGGCGAGCGACAACTTCAAACCCTATATATATATTTATGGAAGCTCTAGGGCAGATTGTATTGAAATAAAAGAGGATACAAAAAAGTTGTATGATAGGGCCCAATAGATGATGCCCTACTCATACGATACATGATACAAAAATATCCCAACAAAAAGATACGAAGACTCAAAAAAAGAAAACATGCAAAACAAGTGTCTATGGACGAGACAATTTAGACCTGCCTCTTCCTCTGGTTCTTGGAGCGGATCCAGATAGCAAACTCTGAAGTGTTGTTCCATTGTCATGAGTGACCAAGATATCATCCATTAAGTTTCCAAGCTGAACAGTGTCCCCGACCTTCTTCCTTCGTCGATAAGTGTAAACTTGCCATTCTTCTTCTGAAGACTGTTCACTCTGATTCGTAGAAGGAAAGACAGTTGCAACGATGAGTTCCTGAGTTTGCGTAGGACAGTCTTCCAAAACTTGGGAAACACCTGCCCTCTCAATAGGTAGTTCTACAAACTGATTAATTGCAGTAAGATGGCTAGTGTTTGGCTTTAAATCTTCCTCATTAGTATTAGGAGATATCTTTTCCGTCATCTGAATGTGAATGTTCGCTTCATCCCTATCTTCAATCACCTCATAGAGGGGAGCATGAGCACCCTCCACAGTAGGTAGAGCCTGAGAGGGTAGTATGTCCACTCCAGTAGAAGAAGGGGCAGTGACCGAGTCCTGCCTTCCAGGGGCAACCACCCGACTCTCCTCCAACAAATGACCCTTATCAACATTTTCTGAAACAATATCAGTAGACAAACCATTTTGCACCGTATCCATCATGGGCATAGCAGTAGGTATCACTGGCAGTGAGGAAGATGGTATAACCTCCGCAGAAGAAACAGGAGGTGGGGCTACAGCAGACCGAAGATGGTGATGCAATCGATAACAGGATGAAGAGCTATGACCAAACATTCCACAATGAGAGCAGTATTGGGGATGAGGTCCCATCACAATCTTCTGCCAATAACCCTGATGTGGGGAGCCAATCCAAATCTCCCATGGAAAGGGTTGAGTGATGTCGCTCTCTACAAGCACAAGCTTCAGATGGTCTGTTTGTATCAAGCGTGGGAGTATCGAACTTCAGGAGTTTCCCAAAAACAGTGTTTCCCAAAAAAGTTGCCAATGTATAAAGAGTTTCATAATTGAAGAGATGCACCTTGAGTCCTGGAAAATTAACCCAAACTGGGATAATAGGAGATTCCAATTTAGGATCAAAATTCACTATACATTTCTGAATTTTCATAAAGCGATTATCAATTTTGAGAACTTTTTGAGCAAAGAGTTGGGTATAGACTGCGTCATTTGAGAGTTGAATGAAAACGTGATGGCCATCTAGCAAACCAACTTTCTAACTCTTTGTGAGCTTAAGAGAATCGAAATGCTTTATAATAATCTCAAGCTTGGGATTTCCATATGGAAATTTTCCAACAAGAGTATATCTACATGCTGAAGCCAATATACTTGTTTCCTCATCAGTGAGAAATAAAGCGGGTTTGTTATTCTTTCTTCTTAGTATTTTAATAAAGGTATAGCCACCTCCAGATTCATGTGCATCATGAAATTCTTGAGGGAAGAAACAGGAACGGTCGCTTGCTCCGGGAGTAGAACCACCCCCGGAGACAGCCGCTGCATAACTCTGGGCCATTTCCCCAAACCGGAACCAGAAACAGGGAACACAAATCTCGAAAGCAGCGAAAGAGGCCACAGACTGCGACCGGGGAAGAGGGCTGCCGACCGGAATATCGCAGCATAGGTAGCAGACGAGAACGCAGTTTGCAACTTAGGACGAAGGCTCGACCGACGCACTCGAACACAGACGACGGCGGAGAACGACGCAGTCTGCGACTCGACCAAGGACGTGTGAGTCTGCATCCGAAGCCTACGAAACAGTAGCACGACGGGGAAGATGGAGTGAAAGCCGGAGGCTAATGCTCGGTTTCGCCATCGGTTGAAACCCTAGCAGTGGAATTCGTACTAGTAAATATATAAGTTTTAAAATGACATATATATATATATATATATATATATATATATATCATTGGCTAAAGGTAATCATCTATGTATACACCCACTGGATTTTGCAGATAACAGATCTTATATAATATTTCTTTGAGTGCTTGTACAAAAAAATTGCTTTTCAAATAAAGTGAGGGACAGTTCTTTGATTTTGAAGGTTAGTTTCAATATATATTATGATGGATGATACTCGTTTATTTCAATAGTTCATTATGCTCAGCTGTGGATGCACCCATCAAGAAATAATTTACGAGCATCATCAAGTTCAACCAGTCTTCTGCATGCATATTTTGAAATGATTACTTTTTGTGAAATATATTAAGATAAAATGTCTTATTGTGATAACTATTTGAATTGATATTTCTTCGTTGGTATTTGAATTTCTTCCATATTGATCCCTGTAAGATGTGCAATGAATATTCCACTGTGTTTAAACCTTTCATTTTTATAAATTGCTCCTGTTAATTACTTATTCAAAGCTTTCTAAACACAACCTATGAGTGCTTTTTTTATAAATTGTTGTCACTATGGAGATTTCTTATTATCACAAGCTTGAATAATGCAGGGATGAGTATTATGCTTGGGGACTGCATCAGATTGCGAAAGCTGTGAGCTTTTTGAATAATGACTGCAAACTTGTATGAATTTCTTTCCAAGGTTTTCTCATTAAGTTATCTAGTGGTATGGAAAGCTATGGTTTTCATAATCATCTTTGGTTGCTCGAGTTTTTGCTTTTCTTTGTTGAATCCTTCTGGATCTGCTGTTAATTTATCTCTGTTTTCATTTTTGTTGTGCCAAGGTATGCTTAAATAGAGTGTCTGAATATTAGAAAATTACATATCAGGCATGTCAATCAGTATGCCCAGGGTGTCTCAGAGTGTCCTATAATCCAAATGTTTGATATGATTCAACGGTCTTTTAATGCTTCATAACATGCCATATGTTAACCTTGTGAAACTTTTTTAGTCCACTCGACTTGGGAAGTTCGATCTTGATTATATACTTATTTTTTTATATAATGATTACTAGATACTTCAATCTATCACTCGTGTATTTTATTTGATCTTAATCTAATATAAACTTATAATTATCAATTTATTCTTTGAATTTTTCTGTCACGTACTTGGTTTTAATTCTATAAACATTATACACACAGTTGTCATATCTTAGTATATTTCTAAATTAATTGTTGTTTTGATTTAATTATTTAACCTATCATAATGTCTGATACCTTCCATGCAATAGGCGGTTTGGTAGCAAATTTAACCTTAAAATGGATATTTTGGAGCATCATGCCACTTGTAAACTCTTTTTTTTTTCAACTTTTAGAATGTAGAAAAGATTTTGTTGTAACTTGGTGACCTTTTTTGTGAATAATCAGAAAATTTTGTTCACATTGAAACATAATTTTTTGGAGAGTTGGTGACCAATAAATTTTTATTTTATATATGTGAAAATAGAAGGATATAGATAATTTGTCATATGGTCAAAGGAGATTAGAATCATTGTTTCATGTGTAGATTCTATTATAGGAACTAGTGGTCTACTTTCTCATACTAATGTTTATTAATATGTTTTTGTAAGAATTTTTTGAGAAGCCTTTTTGCATATTTATAACAATGTTGATGTCATTGTTGTTATGTTTGTACCCCATAGCAATAGGATGATGAACTAACTCATTTGTCCAATAGATTTTTTTCATTAGTGGCCTAAACACATTTGAGCATTTCTGCATTCAGTGAGAGGATTTTCTTAGTTAGCAGCATAGAAGAGGACCAACAGGTTTTTTGTTCCAAAGCATTCATCACGTGAAGCAGTCTTAAAACATTCCATCAGCATTAATGCTTGAATCTATCGTTGAAATATCCATATCAAAATTTTTATCATTTTTGGCTACCAGCTCTAGTTTTGTTACATGATATCTGCTAATAGACCCTTGCAATGCCTACTTTCAAGAAATAACATCTTTCAGGTGCATGGAAATGTGTGTTTGACGAGCATCGTGGTGACTCAGACATTGGACTGGAAGCTGCATGCATTTGATGTCCTATCTGAATTTGATGGTAGTATTGAAGCACCGAATGAATCAATGCTGGTATGTTGGATCTGCATATTATTTGATTTATTTCTTGAGAAAGAAATCTTAGGCTTCAAAAACTATGAAGCTAATAGAAAAGTGCCATATCGGTGCATTTATTTTTTTTTTTAATAAAACAAGCCACAGTATTGTACTTGTCTACAATGAAGCAATACTGGTATTGTCTACCAGTTGTCGATAAGTTTTTTGTTCTAAGACAGACGGTTTCAATTTTTGTATTAGGCGTATTCTTAAGGATGGTGAATGGTGCCGTGAAAAGGTTAGCCTGCTGCGCTAACAATATTGCAACACCTCTAGCAACCTTATAGCTGGTGCAAGACACATGCTAATTTAAAGAATTACAAAGCAATCGACAAATAAAATTCAGTTAATAATTCAGAACAAATCATACAAAAAAATTCACAATCTAATCAGAACGTAAGATTCTTCGAAATGCATGAAAGTAATTTTGTACTAAAAAAATTCTACTACTAAAATGAAATTTAGAATGCTGACCATGAGTTATGTTTTAATTCGATTAAATGAAGCAAAAGCAAATAATTTGAAATTTGAATTCACTGGTTAGCAACTAGCAAGCACACTAAAGAAATCGTAACATGACTAAAATCAAATAACTTACCTGCAGCTGCAGTATATTGGAAAAAAATGAATAAATTCAAAACGGATTATAGCACTATGAGGGTTACGCACCTTGTACCATGGTACAAGTGATGCAGGGATAACATGCGGCATCTTGAATGCCTTTGTCTCCCATAACCAAAATTGCAGAGATGCCTTCTTATGCCTTCCGGCATGGTGCTTTGTTTTTGTGCTGTCATTAACAAATAAAATCAATATTATTGCAAATTAGTACAACTTAAATATCTAAAAAATAAATAATTTGAATCAATTAAGAGAACCAAATCTTGCACTATACAAATTTTAACTGTTTTTATCAGAAAGAAACATCACTAACTGTGCGTTCATTATGCAAATTGTTCATTATTTGAAGTTAATTTTATGAATTTTTATTATTCATTAATTCTTATTTCGGTTCCTATCAGAAATCTTATCTAATTTACATGTTTTTTTTTCTTATAGCTTCTAACCATCGTATACTTTATGTCTTCCCGTTTTCTTTCCTAGCCCTTAATTCCTCACATTTAATTTATCTACTCGTCAGAGTCCAAATTAATTTTATCTATCTTCTACTCTCTGTAGATGGTACGAAATAGTTACAATTATCAACAAAACTTTAACCAATTTTACAATAAAACATTTTTTCTAGCAATAACCAACAACCAAACAACAAATGACGTACTTCAAAATTACAGGCCAGTTTCCATATCGCAATACCATGTTATCTAATAGAAATAATAACTTAACTAGATAGCACCCTATAAGCATAAGAAGGCCAAAATATGATTTAGGTGGGTTTCAAGTTTTTTTTGGAAGTCGAGCACTGAAACTCGCTACTGTTTTAGGAGATAAAATGATGGAAAGTTGGTTATCAATTAACAATAATTCATTTTCCTTAAACTCAATTTTCTGTTGTATTAATAATACAATAATGTTCTATCATCATACAGCTATTAAATAGGGAGTAGTAGTTATGTAGGAAATAGTAAATAAATTTATGATTGCTTATCGAGGTTTTTTTCATATATTTATATCATCCATCAGGTTTAGCATCACATTACGAGTAAGAATAACATTGCAAAGCAGCATGGTCATTATTAATGTCACGACAGCTTTTTATTAGTTGCAATAACTAATAGAGCATTAATGTTTTTGTGGTCTAGAGAGAGAACTACGGAATATGAACGGTTATGTAGTATTTTAAATCGTTCAATGGTTTTATTTTTTGGGGTTTATATCATCTTTTTTTTGGAAGTTCAACTATTCTTCTTAAGCCTTGTATCACCTCTCTTTTTTTAATTCTTCCTATTTTTTTCGTTGAGAACCTCTAATCATTTTGGTTTTAGTTCTTTGTTTTGACAAACTATACATGGCACCTATATCGAAAGTCCGTTACTTTGAGCATTAGTTCTCTTAGTTGAAATTGCCTGTAAAGGATACCATTTCCTAAGTCACACTGCACCTGCATTGTTTAATCAAAATTTTATTTTTATGCTTTATTTAACTTGATGCAGCAATATGAATGGCTGATTGGGTCTCAATACAAACCCATGGAGCTGGCAAAATCAGATTGGGTTTCAATAAGAAAATCCCCCCCCTGGGCAATTGATTCATGGGGCTTAGGTGAATCGGTTAACACTTGTTAAATTTCAAATTGTTTCAATCTTTTTTACTTCCTCTTCTATTACGGATCTCTGTTGTTCTTCTCTCTCTTTCTATCTATCTGCAGCCAACGAATTAACACCCATAATCAATTATGATGCATATTTGTCATACTATATTTCAATTATGATGCACATTTGTCATTGCCTTTCTATATTTCTTAATGAAATTCCAAACACTGATGGCTGAATTCAGATACATGTGGATTGTGAATATTGCTTATATTATGCATTTTGGCATGCATTTGCTTTTATTTTATCATGATTAACTTGGATGCTAATTCAGCTTATAGTTTTTGTTTTGTTGAGAAATTGTTATTTCGAGGTCTAGTTGTCAATAGTTTCATTTAGAAGTTAATAAATTACTAGACATGGTAGATCATTAGTGGTCCATTTGGTTGATTTATAGCTTGTGACTCATGCTTTTATGTGCTTTATTTGTGCTTTTCAAATGATTATATCTGAAGTGTTTTTGAGGATCCTAAGTTTATATTTTTTGTTATCTTATGATTATTTAGTGATATAACTTGTCATACAGTGCCAGTAGTAGTGAGTTTCTTTGATTTCGCGTGGATCTGCATTGTCCATTTTTATTGTGTTGTAACGAAGACTGACTCTAGAGCTTGCAACTTTGTCAGGCTGCCTGATATATGAACTCTTCTCTGGTATGAAGTTGTCCAAGACTGAGGAACTACGTAATATTGCTTCTATTCCTAAGGTTGGAAACTATGACTAGTTATTATCTATAGGTCTTGTGATATGTATCATTTTTTTTTACTACTGATGCAATAGAATCTGGCCATATTTACATTTGGTTTCTCTAGTGAAATATTATACTGAATTCTGATTGAAAATCTGTTTTTTTTTCAGTTTCTGCACTTATTATTCCTTACATTTGCACTAACCTTTTTGTTTCTATTTTTTGTTCTTTTTCTCATTTTTCTCAGTCCCTTCTACCAGATTATCAGAGATTATTGAGTTCCTCACCATCCAGAAGACTAAATCCCTCCAAGCTTATCGATAACAGCGGTAAAGTTGTTGCTTTATTTTTAAACATGCAGAAATTTTTTAATCTTTTGTTCCAAGTGTCCAAGTGATGGGGTGTTTCTTTCTGCATATTCTGTTTGCTAACCAAGCTTGATTGAGCTGATTTCATCATTCACTTATATGTGACCTTCAAACTGCCGTTATGTTATTATTATTGATAATGATTCTTATTGTATTATTATTATTATTATTTTTGTTTTTTGTTGCAAGAAAATTATTGTAATACTTTCTTATTTTGTAGAGTATTTTCAAAATAAACTGGTGGAAACCATACAGTTCATGGAAATTCTAAACTTAAAGGACAGCGTAGAAAAAGACTCCTTTTTTAGAAAACTTCCTAATTTAGTGGAACAACTCCCACGCCAGATTGTACTTAAAAAGGTCGCCAGTGTCCTTTTTATTTTAGCTTAACATGAGATTATTATAATTCCATGACTTTGTCTTTCTTTGTTTTTAGCTGCTTCCATTGTTAGCTTCTGCTTTAGAATTTGGTTCCGCTGCTGCTCCCGCCTTGACAACCTTATTGAAGATGGGCTCATGGCTTTCTGTAGATGAGTTCAGTGTCAAGGTAATGTAATAGTTATACTTTTCCTTCCATAAAATATTTCTGCCAAGCTGTATTGTTTTATAATTAGGTTTTTTATCATCTTCCTAATTTGAAATACACCAGTTTCAATAAATTGTGTTATTCTATAGGTGTTGCCGAGTATTGTTAAACTATTTGCCTCCCCTGACCGAGCTGTCCGAGTTGGTCTTCTTCAGCACATAGATCAGTTTGGAGAATCACTAACTGCTCAACTTGTTGATGAACAAGTATGTGAACACAAACGTATTTGTAATAGTGACTCTTGGTATTCTAGACTAACTGAATGGAAATCTGATTATCATTTTCTTAATTTCTTCTGCTAGATATTTCCTCATGTAGCCACCGGTTTTTCAGATAGTTCTGCATTTCTTCGTGAATTGACTCTAAAGTCCATGCTTGTATTGGCACCTAAGGTAATTGATTTTAATTATTTCTTTCCTTTTGCGGAGTCTTCTTAGACTTGTTATTTTGTTAATACATTGGATGTATGATGATGTGCCTGTACAATCAGTTCAAATGCATATAGTTGCAATTTATTGAGCGTTCAGGGTTATCTAAGAAATCAAGGGAATTTTATGTTTAGCTCAAGCCATTTTTTTTCCTTAATTTCATCTTAGCTTGGGTCGTATTTTTCTTACTTAATTTGGTTCTCTACTAGAGAGATGCATCGACTATGATATCTCGGAATTTATCATTTACTACTAGTTTTATGTTAGCACATTAAAAAATTATAAAATCTATTGACACCAATCTAGGGCTCCTAGAAGGTGTTCGAGAAGCGGGTCTGATGGGGAGGAGGTAGAGGAATAGTAAGGGGATGAAATTTTGGTCAGTGATATTTGGAGGGGGAATAGACGATGTTCGACGACTATCCTAATTAAAAACAACATAGAAAATCACGAAATAATGTAGTGTAGATATGAAGAGGGGTGTCGGCTAAAATTGTGGCATGGATGGATAACCACGAGACAATGAACCAGAACATAAAAAAGCAGTTTTCCTATTGTGAACAACAATTTACTGCGAGTTGGACGACGAAGGAGGTCTCCGAGTGTCTAGGAGAGATCACCATCTCGATCCTACCATGTTACAGACACACAGTCTGAAAGAAATCTAAGAATATATCACTCCAATATAGATAACCAGGAGAAAACTTCTCTAAATAGCATAAAACAAATCAAAAGTCTTTTCAGACTAGAAGATAACAATACATAAATAGTCTCTCAAGTAAAACCCTACTTAGGAATAAGAAAAATAGGAAATAAAGATAAAAAAAAATGAATAGGAAACAAAGACAAGGGAAATAGATGAATGGGAAATAAATCAAAAAGGAAGAAAATTTGGGCTGAAATAGAAATTCGGACGTGAGGCGGAATTGCGGCAATTCTGCGATTATGAAATTCCGCATGGTTCGGGATCGTGGGAGACACACCCACATCATTCTCCTCGTCTTGGAGAAGTTTTTTCTTCTTTTATCAACGGACCTGAATCTCACTGTTGAATGTTCTTTCCCATAAAATGACCTAGTTTTTTTTCACGATTGTTGTTCACCTCTCCTATCTGGCCATCTATCCCTCAATGCGTTGTTGAGCTGAATTATAACTCATCACTCAACTTATTTCATATAGTATTTCAAAAATAACTCAGAGTTTCCTCAGCTTTATCTAAAGTGAGAACATGCTGGATCTCTCTCAACAGTAGCAATTTTGGAGGTAAATTGTATGTTTGAAAATCTTGAAATCTATTTAGTAGGGGTTCCCTTGTGTTTGATATCGACTCATTGAATTCACTGCTTTTTTGGACAAGCAATGCTATTTATGATGAGGTTTCTCTCAATGTCTGCAAAAAGATTGGTCGTGGCAACACATCCTCAAACTCTATATGAATATCTATTATATCAAACTCTCTACTTTCTAGTACAACAAATTATAATCATATTAGTGTTTCTCTCTTGGGCTCAGCTTGAATCATTAGCATCTCTTCCTCGTCTATTGTAAGCAAGTACTCTCTAATCTCTGCATCTAGGTCTTCACCCTCTGGCTCCTTCACAACACCCTGCTCAATGAAAGATATCATTCTCTTGTATGGGCAATCTGATGCAATGCGCCTAAATCTGTGACACTTAAAGCACTCTCTGTAAGGGATGGATTTAGGAGCGTTGGCGGCTCCATCTATTCTCCACCTGGATTGACTTCTCCTCTGATAGTGTCAGCTTCGGTGCTCTATTGGGTGTACTTTTGTTGTCTGATTCTGGGGTTGAACTCTGCCCGTAAGGGGTGTCGGTGATCCGGTGATGTTGTCGTCTCTCCACCTTCAAAGCTAGGGTTTGTACATCTAGTAGGGACTAATATAACTGCAGCTGCACCACATTACTAACAGACAATCTTAGTCCTACAAGATACCTCATTACTGTGCGCTTATTTACTCCACCAACTCACATTTCATCATAAGTTGATCAAAGCAGTTGTGTACTCCACAGAAGTGTCTCTGGCGCAACATATAGAGGTTTATGAACATGCTCTATCGGTATTGCGGGGAAAGATATTTGCGCAACATGTCTTTTTTCATCTTGGATTATATAGTGATCTTACCATCCCCTTCTCTTGTCGAATACACTTCATGTTCTCCCACCTTAATGAAGCATTTTTCCTAAACTTGATGATAGTCAATTTAACTCATTTGTCCTGAGGAACATCCTTGCACTAAAAAAGCAGTTCTACTGTTTAAAGCCAGTTGATAAACTCATTCGAATCCATGCTTTTGTCAAAATCTGAGAAATCTACCTTCACTCTAAGTTTCTGGCTTCTTCTCTGGCATTCTACACCAAATCTTCGGGGCATTGATTATTCATCATTGGAAACTTTATGGTGGAATGAATTCACTTCTTCGTCTCGATCTGATAAACTGTCGTTGTGGCTACGGGTGAGCCCTTTTGGATTGTCTCTTGAATATGGCGAGCCGCAATTGCAGTTGGAGGATTTCTCGCTACATATCCTCTATAATAAGGTCTTGGACACCTCTTTGTTGATTTCTCCTAGGTGGCATTGTGTACTTTTCTCCTTATCAAGGATTCTGACAGTTGTAGGATTGTAATTCAATGTTAGTTAGGTGCTTAGGTTTTTGAGATAGGTGTAGTGGTGGAATTTTTGTGGAGGTAGGAAAAATTGGATTTTGAAAATTTTTAGGGTAGGGGCTAGGAATTGCTGTAGTAGTGATAGGTGTGATAGGGGGAAAATTTTTTTTTTTTTTTTTTTTTTTTTTTTTTTGTGTTGGGGAGTGTTAGATTAGGTTATTTAGAGTTTTTGTTTGGGGCAAGGAAGAGAAAATCCTAAATAACTTTGGCTTGTTGGGCTGTGATAACAAATTAAAAGTCCTCTTAAACTAGAAAATAGCAACACATAAATAGTCCCTCAAGTAAAGCTCTACTTATGACTAAGGAAAATAAGAATTAAATAAGGAAATAAAAAAAAGAAGGAAGACAATCCAGGCTGAAATACAAATTAGAATGGGTGGCTGGATTGCGGCAATTCCGCGACTCCGAAGTCCCACACGGTTCGGGCTTGTGGGAGACACTCCTGCTTCATCCATGCTTTCATGCATCCAAAAAGTTACGCATTCAAGCATGCCCCATTAGTTTTTATTTAGCTTACAAGTCTTTCAAAAACAATTGATGATGATATTTGAAGAAGTTTTGTAAGTTCAAATTTATGACTCTTATCAACTATAGGAATATTGATTTTTTTGATAATAATGAAATTATAATCTAGAATTATAAATTTATTATATTTTAATTGTATCATTTGTTTATTTTTTAATGGCCCAATTAATAAGTCCTATTACTAGTTGATGTGATAATACAACAATTAATTCTAATACAATTTGATGTGGCTGTCTTAGAGTCTCAGGTTCACTAATGTGAACATAGAATAAGATAAAAAGGAAATATGGAAAAAAAATGCAATTCATCAACTCTGATTCAGGTGAATATTAGTGTCTTTTGGTGCAAATTCTAAAAAATGCACTTTATTTATTCGAAACAATAATATTTAAGTCGCAAAAAGTTTAAGAAATAATATAAAAATTTACAATGATTAAGATTCACTCTACAAGCGCATAAATTGAGATGTATCAAATTTGACTTATTTACATAATTCGATCACTAATAAATTTGATAAAAGGACAACAAGCATGGAAATCTCTGATTGGAAGATATAAGTCACATATTTGTACATAGGGAATTGTCCTCTGACAGTTGACATCATGACTCCAAAGAATCCACATTCAATAGCATGCACAAGAACTTAGAGGACCTATTTACCCTCTAAGATTTAACAATTCTACAAGTTGTAATGAAACACACTTGGTGATGCGGGAGCTTATGTGGATGCGGTATTGTTGCTGTTATATTACCGCAGTTCAACCCAGGGGACTTGCTGCCCAAATGGAGAGGATCCTCCCTTTCCAAAATCAGCCGCCCCCTTCCTTTCTTATTTCTATTCCCTTCCTATTAATCTTCCTTTCTTATATTTATTCCTTGCCCTTTCTATGCAATCATATTCTAACTACTATTAATTATTTTTTTTTGAAACGCCTGAGGGCTAATTTTATTAAAATTGAAAAGGTACATAAATGTTGTATGAGAGGACCCAATAAATGCGCCCTACCCATACGATACACAGACACTAACATCCTAAAAAAGATAAGACATTGATAAAATTCTAAAATCCATAACTCGCAGAAAACCAGTTGTTAGGGATGAGCCAGCTTGGTCCTGACTTTGCCTCTGGTTCTAGGAACGGAGCCAGCTAACAAGTTGCTGAGTGTCGTGCCATTACCCGAAGTTACTAAAGTATCATCTATTCCCAAGCTGGTGTGTGCTTCCATTCTTCTTTTTCTTCCTAGATGTGTATACCTGTCATTCCTCATCCGAAGACTGACTCATCTGATCAGTGTGATCAACAGATTGTCGGGAATGTAGAAGAGGATGAGCCCCTAGCTCCTGATTAACAGTAACAACATTCTCATTCTGAAGAGATGGTAAGTCTGTCCCCTCAGCACCTGATGCTTCCTGAGGTTGTGGAGTTGCGATACTATCCTGATTATCAGACCGAAGAATATCCTTTAGAGGTAAGGATCTTGCAGTATTGTTTTCAACAGTGATAGAGACTGTAGGATGCCCAAGTGAACCATCTGCCAATACATCAATCGGAAGAACAGAAACAATATTGTCTCCAGTATTGAGAGGGAGAGGTGACATCATGTCAACCGGTGTTTCAAAAGTCTGTGGAATGCACTCGGGGGCGGAAGAGGGACAGATATGAAGTGGGGCAGATCTAGTAGCATTTTTACTCTGAGGTTTTAGATTTGGATGCAAATGATAACATTGAGAAAGAGAACATCCGACAGTGGGTGC